GCAATAGGTTTGGGGCGCTTGTATTGCAAATGTATTGCGCCAGAGAATTGTATTGCATTGTGTTGCAAGCACGCGAAAATCAAGCAATACATTTGCGCCCCGGAATGTGTTGCACGCCCAATGATGATTGCGGCCCCACAAATCTATTGCACCGAATCTATTGCACCAGCCCGTTGTCGCTGGACCCCCTGTATGGGTCAACCCGAGTCACGCCAATCGGTTTGTCGGCGGACCACCACGGAACTGGGTCCAACCGGCCGCTGGACGGGTCACTCGTGGGCCACGGCGCTGCCCTCCAGGACCAAGGCTGCACCCCCAAGACTCGGTCCAGTCCCGCGCCTGCGTGAGGCCACTGCGGAGCCTCAGGATTAGGTCGGGCATGTCCCCATACAGCGGCATCTTGGACGAACAACGAAAAATAGTGAAAAATACCCCGCACATTGACAAAAATAATGAACAAATCGTCCCCTGACCATTTGTTGAACTATTGTTGGATACTCCTCCTGTAGAGGGACAGGCCCGACATAACCCGAACAAACCATCACATTGCAAAACGTCATTCTCGCCTTTCAAACTATCTCCGGCCGCATACATACGTCTTGGGGCGAGACGAGGGGGATGTCACGAAGGGGATGGTTTGCTAGGGGTCGGTCAGGCCTCCCCCGAATACTGTGGGCTCGGGAGGTTCCCAGGGCCAGTCGTCCCAGCCTATTGCCTTCGAGCGTGGCCTGTCGGTCTGCTGGGTTGCCTCGGTGGTACTGGGCTGGCTCCTGGCAGGAGGAGGCTCTATTTTCGAGTCACCTGCGCCTTGAGCCCCTCCGACGGGCGGCGGTTCGCTGCCAGGAGGAACGACGGGAAAGGACAACACAATCGACTGCCATGGACCGTGGTGGCTCCGCCACGGATCACTGCCCCTGGCATCTGCTGTTTACCTTTGTCTCTTGTCGGTGGCCTCCTGACTGCTTGCTCCCGTCGACGATGCCGACGGGCGTGAGAGAACGGAGCGCACATCTCCACGAGGATCATTATCAATCACGCTCCACTCACAAGTGTCAACGATTCGAGACCGAGACATGATGCGCTCTCAAGATCTACTTCCCCATCACATGACGACATACCGAAGGATTGGGCAGTCCAAGCCACAACGGCTACGTACAAACATGTCTGGCACATAGAGTCACACACGATTCAGGCGGAGCGGGCAAGGAGAGACACCTCCCATCTTGGACGTCCTATTGCTCCTCTGCCGCACTCCCCAATCCTCAGCATCCCTCCTCGGCCCCTTCCCCCTCGTCCTCTCATCTTCTCCGGCGTTGCATGTTTGCTCGCGCCGTCAGGCCCTGGGGATCACTTCCCCGGGGTCGGCTTTTGATCCAGACCACGTTCCTCTTGCCCTCGCTCGGACGTCCATTCCCTGTGCACGTGCCGGTTTCGTGCGTGCATTTTCTCGCAAAGTGGCCCCACATGCTCCTAGAATCCCCTTCGTCGAGAAGAAACGCACACGTCCGAGCCATGCCAAATTCTTAAAAACCGATCACGGGCTGGGAGACGGCCTCCATAGACCGGACACGGCGAAAAAGTGGTGGTCGGTGTTGCGCTCGCAACGCCAAGCAGTGGGTTGTTGGGTGGTTGTCGTTGAAGGGGCCCAGGGACACAAACTGATACAAACGAATCCCACGATTCCCCTTTTGTCTTTTAATATTGTCTGGATGTTCGTCTTTCCCTCCACTTCCCACGTATGTTTTCCCAATGGGTTGTTTACACTGACGGGTCCTAGCGGACATAAAAGAGATTGGCGAAAGTAGCGGGCCGATGTCGGTGGATGGCTCTCAATGGGCGGTTGTCGGTGGGCACCCCCTCAAGAGATTGGCGAAAGTAGCCCGCCGATTTCGGTGGGCGGCTCTCGGTGGGCGGCTGTCGGCGGGCGCCCCCTCTCTCTCTTGTTCTATCTCTTGGTATCTCTCTATATTAATGCTGTCGGTGGGCGTTCCCTTTCTCTCTATGTATATAGTTGTTATATATATATATATATATGAAAGAACGCGTTTCACGGGCGCTTGCCTGGGGAACATTCGGCGGCGCGTTTCGAAGCGAAGGGTGGGCCAGGGGGAGGGGGGGGGTCACCCCCCCTCCCTCGGCGCCGGCGCTGGCGCTGGCGGCCGCCAGCAGCGCCCACGGCCGGGACGCAGCGACGATGACCAGAGGCAGCCACGAGGGGGGGGGGGGGGGTTCAACCCCCCCCTGGCGGCGGGGGAAGGGGGGTTCAAACCCCCTCCCCCTCGCGCCGGCGCCGGCGCTGGCGGCGGCCAGCAGCGCCGGCGCGCTGGCCGGCGACGGCGGGGACGCAGCGACACTTACCACCACTACTACTACCACCACTACCACCACCACCGCCTCAACCCACCACCACCACCACCACCACCACCACCACCACCACCACCACCACCACCACCACCAACAACAACAACAACAACAACAACAACAACAACAACAACAGCACCACACAACCACCACCACCACCACAGCCACCACCACCACCACAACCACCACCACAACTCACCATCACCACCACCACCACCACAAAAACCCACCACCACTACCACCACCACCACCACAATCCACCACACCACCACCACCGCCACAACCACCACCACTACCAGCGGCACAATCCACCACCATCACCACAGACCACCACACCACGATCACCACCACCACCACAAACCACCGGCGTCCTCGTCGACGCTCCCCGCCACCGCCGCCCGCCGCCGCAGGCGCCGGCGCCGGCCCAGAAATGGAAATCGTCGTCCCCGCCACCGTCGCCAGCCGCCGCCGACACAAGCGCCGGCCCGAGGAGAGGGGACGCAGAGGGTGGGGAGGGGGGGGGGGATGCGGGGGAGGGATGCGGGGGGGGTGTTTGAACCCCCCCCCCGCCGTCACGGGAGGGGGGGAAGGGGAGGGGGGGTTCGAACTCCCCCCCTTCAACCAGGGGGGGGGTGTCCGGTTTCACCCCCCCCTCCAAGCGACCACAGAACGCGTTTTTTCCTCTCTCTCTCTCTCTTTTTCTCTTTTTTTGTTGTCCTCTCTCTCTCTCTCTCTCTTGGTATCTCTCTACATCAGTGTCACTCTTTCGTGGTTCCCCGATACGCAATACATGAGCTACTCGTTGTGTATGATGTTTTCTCTTCGTGTTAGGCAATATCTTTCTCTCTCTCTCGCTCTCTCTCTCTCTCTCTCTTATTCCCTCTTTCGGACCATCCACTGATTGGGGTGTTTCTCCGGTGTGATCCATATTTTCTGGGGGATCGACGATTAGTTGTGTCTGTGCGATTTTCCCTTCCTGAACAACGTTGGCCTCTGTCAGCCGTTCGGCACGATCCAGGCAGCGCTGGGAACGCTCTCGGCGAGGCGCAACTGCTGTCCAAATTCGAACTCAGCCCGACCCGGCGCCGAATGACGCCGATCGGGGAACCCACGAGGATCCCGAGCAGGAGGGCCCCGATCGGGGCACCGGCGAAGACTCCCGAAAACCTCGGGAAGCCGACCGACGGAATAGTGGCCTCCTATAGATGGGGTCCGAGTAGATGAGGTCGAAGGATTGCGCCGCATCGCCAATACATCGCCGATGTATCGACGATGCATCGGCGATGCGGCGCGATCCTCCGACCCCATCCACTCGGACCCCATCTAGGAGGCCTAGAGGAAGGGTCTCCCCCCCGCGGGGTCTCCAGGGAGCCCGTGTCGCTGCCGGAGTAGTCGTCGTCGTCCGTGGCGCCCCCGTCCTCCCGCTGGCGCCCCTGGTGGCCGCCAGGCCTCCAGGCCTGGGCAGCTGGGGGGCCGCGGGCCGGGGGCTGGAGAAGGCGAGGCGGGCGGCGAGAACGACTGGCGGCGCGCACGAGGGGGTGAAGGGAGGGGGGAGGGCTTCTTAGAAGGAGGCTGCTCCTCAGAAGACGCCAGCCTTACACCTACGGATGAGGCCCGCACCTTCCAAGAGGCCCTCCCCCCTCCCCATACCCCCCCCCTGCGCGTGGCCGAAACGAGTAGGCAGGCGAGGAGGCAGGACGGGGCTACGGTCAGGGCGGGTATGTCCTCCTCTAGGCGGATTTTTCGAGGAAGAATATAGATAGCCAAAAAATGATCAAACGTAGTCAAGAACAGTCAGAAAACAGTCAGATAATTGCCAAAAGTAGTCAAAAACAGGCGGGCGGTGAGAACGAGGAGGCAGGCGAAGAGGCAGGACGGGGCTACGGACGGTGCTCAGTCGATGATGCAGTGGGGGCCCGACCACAAGAAACCGTCCACGAGAATCCCAACCCTGAGACTCTAGGACGTCCATTAACTTTTGGTGTGGGAGCGGCGCGCTTTCCGTGGCAAAACCATCGAACCCCAAGAAGCACAGGGCACCCTGGAGACAAGAAGGGTGTTTCTTGGCATGGGTCTCCACTGTAGCGATGGTGACGGCATTCTCAGCTGCCAGAGCCTCCAAACACCACCCTCGGGACCACGACGGGCGGCGAGACGGCTTTCCAGTGGTAGGGCACAGAAAGATGACCGTGTGTTTTTCAATCGCCGCGTTTTTCTGGCCCCGGGGGCCATGAACATGGATCTGAGGCAAAAGCTGCCCTGGGGCAAGGGGCTGGGATCGCTGGGGCCAGCGTGACAAGACAACTTTCGGAGGCCCTCCGTCCCTCCTCCTCCTCCTCCTAATGTTTTGCGCATTTGTCTCGCAGTGCATGTTGCCCAAACGCGCCAGACTCCCGAGGCCACGGCCTCGCCCACCCGGTCTTGAGTAGGCCCGGACGCTGTCCGCAACAGTGGTCGCATCGCATCGCATCCCCGAGTCCTTTGATCGGCGCTATTCAACCCTGGCGCGCCCTGCGCGCCCGAGGCGCCGCAGGAGGGTGGGGACAGCGCCCGATTTCTCCCAAGGAAGCATTGGCGCCAACGAGGAACTGCACTCGAGGGAAGCATTGACGTCTCCAGGAATGCCCCAAGACGGCCCC